GGTTGATGGTAAGCTGGGGTTTACATCGATTGACTAAAATCTGATTATTCATAGAACCTGTCGTTGAATTAAGAAATCGTTATACCATCTGGTAGGTGAAATGAACTAGTGACCCCCAAGATGTGATACAATGTTTCAGATGCATCGTCTTGCGAATGACATAAATATCGCAAAAGTCAGACAAACAAGTGAAATGTGAAATTAGTAGATCTTATTTTGATGAAAAATTGTTACTATAATATGAAGATTCCTCAATGAGAGTTATGTTATTTATAGGCCTTGATGAAATAGTTGCTAGGGGAAACACTCCATCCAGGTCTGTTGTATCCATGTCTGTTGGGGCTGGCGCTAGTACATCACTAGACAATGCCGTACAACGAGTTATCGATGATGGTTATACGGCTTCCATCGCAGCTGGCAATGAAAACCAAGATGCTTGCAATACTTCACCTGCAAGAGTTGAAGATGTACGTATACATATTGGACACTTATAGCAATCAAATCGATACACTAGAACTAGAACTACTTGGTTTAGAATAATAGGTTCAAAATGTTATATATTACGAAAACAAAAATACATTAAGTGACTATAACCAGTAATGCCATATGACGCACTTTAATCCGATTTAGGCTATTACTGTTGGTGCAACCGACGTTAACGACAATCGAGCAGGCTTCTCCAACTGGGGCAGCTGTCTTGACATATTTGCACCTGGTGTTGCTGTTAGAAGCGCCTGGTATACGTGTGATTCTTGTTATGAAACCATAAGTGGAACCTCTATGGCATGTCCTCATGTCTCTGGTAAGAATACATAGAAGTAGTTTTATTAAAAACAGCTTTCAAGTCTGGGTATTATTTGTTTATTTATTTTGGTATTTTGTATAATCCAAATTTGATTTTTCTTTTCAAAGGTGTTGCCGCCGTACATCTTGGTGCTGGCACTTGTAACGACAATGCCAGCTGTAGAAATCAAATTGTTGTTGTGGATTCTACTATTGGTGCAGTAAATGATCCCAACGGATCACCAAATTTGTTGTTATATTGTGACTAAATATACACAATAAACAAAGGCAAGTTAATACTTATTTTATGTTAGATCTAAACTGTCTGACTCGGCATTGGCATATGCATTATCAGTGAATTCCAATCTAAAGTTTTTTGCTCGGGCGTGTTTTTCTAATTTAAATGATATGAATGTAACATTACCAAGTCTCATATGCTGCCTTATAGTAATATGCTGAATTGTCATTCCTCCTCTTCCACAATTATACTATACTGACATTGATGTATTTTCTTTGTTTATAGGTCGTTTTATTAGAGAACATGGCACATAATGCTGCTCATTATAAGTGACTGTAGACGTGAATAAATTTGATTCTAATTGAAAAAAATAATTGTCTTTGTCATATTTATTTATTTATTTATTTATTTATTTATTTAACGTATTAAGGCATCAATTAATTTCCCACCGTATCGCCACTGCTCGACCATCGGTTGTAATGACAGTGTGTGAATGATAAAAACGTCACTATGTTGGATAAATATACCCTGCCCTGAAACCTGCTTGTTCTTCTATAGTGAATTGAGTAATTTCATTTAATTTACATTTATTGTACAATATTCTATTGAACATTTTACTTAATATTGAATGGTTTAGATCACATGATCAAAGTCACCTGTCCAGTTTGTTGGAGTTGTTTTACATGATACCTGATTCACATAGTATCGCCTAAAATTGTGACATACTTTCATTGTTAACAGTTAAAGTTCGATGATTACTAGTAAATGGCTCCTGTAGTACAATTCTGTGGCACGTTCAGACCACAGTTCAGTTCTACAGCCGACATGCAAATCAGATATACCGGATCGTTGTGCGTTAACATAATAAGTACATTAATCTTCTAAACTAAAGGTGCATGATTCTACAAAGGTCCCAGTTAGAGCAATAACATCACATTGTTTTACAGCAATTCCAGGCACTTATTTGATGCTCAAGTAGTGCTAGATGTTGATAACTTACTACAATAGGTTACACACTTTGTTTTCAAATTTACAGAATTGTTACAAATAATGCAGACAGCATGTCTACAATTTGAAGCGCACCGGAAGAAAGCTCCGCCCATAAAAGTGGCGGTACATTAGTTTTGAATTTCTCCTCGGATCGAGGATCGAGGCTCTCAACGTAGTTTCGTACCAGCTGACCGACTGATCATGACAGAATTATTGATTAAAGTGCATTATTCCTACTATGGAAATATCCGTATCACGTCGATGTATATAACTGAAAGCTGCCAGCAACAAATGTCCTATGAAGACTTCATCCAGTATATCAATAATGAAATTGAATAAATAAGTAAGTAGAATGGGTGTTATTCAATTATTAGTTCTCGACGATGAGAACCAAAAGGTTGATGCGCCACCAAATAATCGCTTTAAAAAGCTTATCACTGGCAACACACGATCACACGTCCGGGGAGGGTTGCCGCCGTACACAAGTAGTTTTTGTCGAATTTCCCGTCCGTAAATGCGCGGTCGCAATGTTTTATAATATTCAACATAGTCTATAACGTTGTCAGCCTGAATTTCCTGGCAGGATACTCTCGGTAACAAACCATTTGACGATATTATAAGCTGTCTGCTTTGAAACACCATTTCGATCTCCAATCTCAGCAAATGACAGTCCAAGAAAATACAAAACGACAACTCTTGTTCTCACTTCAACTGTTTTTTTGACTCCTTGCTTCTCCATCGTGGTGCTTAAACAACTTGGACAAATGCAGATTTGTAGACACGCAATCGACACGATGACCGACCAAAAGTGAATGAAAGACGGACGCGCCTCAAAGTTAAGGTGTACCTGACTTTGTAGCAAAAATAGAAAATATTGTGGACAATATCTGTCAATCATTCATCTGATTTGCAGCCGATGTTTATATTTCTAGTTACAACTTATGTAAATTTGAAAACAATGTGTGTAACCTATTGTAGTAAGTTATCAACATCTAGCACTACTACAGCGTCAAATTAGTGCCTGGAATTGCTGTAAATATGCAATTAATATTGTATTGTCCCATTCGCCTAGCAATGCTCTTACGTTCCAACAAGGAGTTTCACTGTTTAACCCTGTTATTTTCAGAAGGGCGTTGGCCGCACTGCTACTTTGGTTGGCATATGATCACTTTATGTTCAGTGTCGTCGTATTCGCAAAGTGTTTGTTTTCCACCACAGTTCTTCACAGAGAGTCTGTCGTAATTTATGTTCTTAGGTTAGGCTCATCATTCTTTAGCGCCTTTCTGAATTCGAACATTTTTTTCTTTTAAATCTGATCTCTTTTGAATAGTTCTCGTCAATTTAAATATTTTATCCTTGTAGCCGTGATGCGTTTTTTAGGATAATTTCATTGCCCGTTTGTATTCATAACGACGATGAGTTTCCCGCCATTAAAATACGGGCCGTTGACAACACGGTGCACTCTTTATTCCTAATTTGTCTTCAATTATGTTTTTCACGATGGTTTCGGACTTTTTCCACGATTAGGAACTTTTCTCCTAATATACACCTTTAAATACTAAGTTACTTCGGCGAGATCTGTTATTCAAGTCGTCATATTCACTGCCCAGTTCTTTTTTGATTTAGTTCACGAATACATCCGAACTGTGTGAAAACCCTCTAAATTGGTAGGATTGGAATTGCGTATTTCACCTTATCATTTATGTACGCATCTCGGCAACGTAATCTTCCAGATTGTGTTGTTCAATTAAATCAATTGTATATTGCCTTTGATTCTGCCAGTATCGCTGCTATTTGCCTAGACAAAGAATTATTCATCTCAGAGACGATATTTTTCGTAGCCACGAATGTGGTATTTGAAAAAAAAAAAACTAGCGATGATTTGTGACTCAGTTGTTTTATTTGACACACTGATTCCTAAAATAAAATTTACAAAGCTCTTTTTTTAAAGTCTAAATTGTTTTTAGTATGCAGGTAGCTGAATCACTATGGGGGTTTGACCTCATCAGTCGCCATACTACACAAGATATCTTCTTTCCTTATATGAATATAAAATATTAAACTATATACACCATCATGAACAGGAATCTCAGTGTAATCTGAAACGATATATGGGCAAATATCTTTCGCATGAATACCAACAATAATGGCGCTGTATTTGTTTACAAAATAAGTGAGCTTTTACACAGTAGAAAGCAGAAAAACTGAACATTCCCAGAAAAGTAAAACCATATCTGAAATAGTATATTACGGAAAAACAAGCCATGTATGGCACAATCCCTGTAAGTTATCAAATTTAAGATATATAGTTTTGTTTATGTCAGAGATATCGATCCTGAAGCTAATGCTTGATTATGATGATTTTTTAACATTAAAATGATTGAAATTCAGTCATCTTGTATCTAATCGTACTTGTCCATGTTGATAAATATTGCTCTGAAACAGCATTAATTAAAACAAAATGGCCACCAGTCGGCCATTTTGAATACATATATATATCTATAACATGATGTATAACGATATATAAAATTTGAACATGGCAGCATGGCAGTGATATGACACGCGAACTCCATTCATGAAAACAAAATGGCCGCCAGATAATATTATGTGTGATGTATATGTTAAGTTTGAATGTGATTGGTCCAGGCATGTCTAAGACACACGGATGCACAAAAGTCAATCCATAAGTCCCCGTTTTCGGACTGCGTCTTAACACAGACTAATAAACTGTGATCATTTGAGAATCAGCAAAAAACTAGTTTAGATTCACAAGAACGAAGGTGATAAAGAAAAAATTCACACACTTAATTTGTTATAGTATTGGTATTTGTATAATTAATGTTTGACACTTGAGCAGATCAGGAGTTTACATTGTTCAAACAGATATCAATTAAAGCAACTGGTCACAAGAAGTCAAATGAAACAGATGACATGTAGACAATAAGTATCCAATAACAATAGAAAACAGCAATTGGAAGAGTAGCACCGATAGATATCAATAATCCGTTTCTATAGGTAATACAATAAAAATGACATTATCATGGTTGCATCCTTACACCTCATTGTTATTTTCAAAACACATTATTATCAGTTAGTTTTACTAGGGGATAAATGAGCATCTTCAGTCTCTGTATTTTGCTCAGAAACTTTTGCTTTATTTTCCATTTCAACTATCACTTTTGTAGCAGTACCTTCTTTCTGTATATCTGTCTTATCGGTCTTCAAATCACCACCTGCCAACAGCGAGACATCCTCATGTTTTACATCTAATGAACTTTCATCTAGTAGTGTTCCTTCTTGTTTGTCTTTACTACCACCACTAAGAGCTCCTTCTTCAGTAACCATATTGCTTTCATCTTCATTTCTCTTGGGTATTTTGGTCTTTGGAGATTTGTCCTCTTTAGTCCCTATAAAAAGACCAAATTTCTCTTTAACTCGCCCTATGTAAAGCTTGACTAGACTTAACTCTGTACATGTAAATGCAAGATTTTGTCTAAATTTAGCTCTGTCTAAACCAAAAACCAGTCTAACAAAAACTTGCTGGCTGTGCAAGATAAGGCTGAAAACCAACGGATATTTTAATTGGGATATGTGATCGCAGTCTGATTCACAATAGATTTGTGAAAAAGAGGTAATGAATGCAACTTTCAGTTTTGGTGGCTTGAAGATTGCTGTACTGGCATTGAATTTGGATACCATAAAAGTTACTATCCTAAGCTGTTTCCTTCATGTTTGCTTGCAGAGATAATGGCAGACATTCACTTCTCAAGCTCAGAAACAGAATCAGACTATCAAGGTTTCGTGGCTATTGAATAATGTAGAAGAAACAAATGAATTACTATTAAGCATACTTTGGAAAAGAGGCCAGGACAAGCACCATCACTAGGATTCACAACTTTCAAAGGCAAATATTCTATATTCTAAAGGACATCTATTCAGTCATTTTGAATTGGATCATGAAACAAACGCATGTGAATATTCAATGAATTTGATATGCAGATCAGATCCCCCCTGATATCATGCTGAACAAAGCAGTTCAACATGAGCAGCAGGGAATGCACTGAATTCGATATGCACTGAATTCAGGGAATGATCTCAGCAGAGTTTATGCTGAACGTGGCAGTTAAACATAACAGCAGGCAAAACAAGCTTGTGATGACATTGAAAAAAATCATTGTTCATCACCAGCATGTAATTGCATTGGGAAATTGGCTTTGAAAAACGTTGTCATGCAACTATTATAGAATTGTTTCAATGTGAGGGCGAGAGGCTATTAAACTGTTTATACATATACAGACAAAGCAATAAAAAGTTATCTATTTCTAGGAATCATTTCCCTAGCAAAGAAGAAAGCATATGGAAACATACACTGAATTGAAATCTAGACGCAATCGCCAACATACACATGAACATCCTACTAGCATATTTGTTAATGCATTAACCGATCATATTATAAAAAATTCTATATTAAAATACAGGATCAGATGACTAACTTTTTCATCACCAAATTTCGAAAAACAATATGCGTTGACATCTAAGTTAATTCAGTAATAAACATAGGGTATTAGCAAGCATGCAATTTGTGACATGTCTCACAGTGAAATGAAGCAGTCCGCATTTAGAAATTCAAATATAATATTCAAATGAGCGATATGGCCTGGCTGCAATGTTTCCTATACCTTGTTGTTAAGTCAATACGCACACTGTGTACCTTTGCTGATCAAGCTAGACTATCATTGGTACTATGTCAGTCGGACACAGAGTACTAACCTTAATTTACAGTAAAAATATATATCCCATGGTATGTATACATTCACAGCACACTTATCAACATAACTAGCTCATCTAAATTTAAGCCCATTTTGTAAATGAAAAAATCATATTAGTTAAACCTAACCTGGTAAGTGATCATGTTCTTCTGTCATAAACCATGAATCATCATTACTTGGGAAATGCAATGGCAGCAGTGACTCGTATATGCGAACATCCTCTTGTAGAAACAGACAGAATATTATTCTATCAACCTGTAATAAACATACAAGAGTATACAAGAAGGCAAGGCAGAAATAGATATATATTATTGTAACGAGCAAAGCATAAATGTATAACATTATGTGTGATCATCTACCTAGATAGATGTCAATGATATTACAATAAAACTAGTCTATTAAACAAGAATACTGGAAATTAATATAATTTTGTTCTTTGAGATCTATTCTATTTTTATTAGAAATTTACTAAACGTTAAATGCAATTGGTGATATTTTGCCAGAATTGTACTAGTAAATCAGTGCCAATGATTAGCTGGCTGACAGTAAATATTGCTAATATTAAATTTGAAATGAGTCAACAGTGTTTTCCGTGCTAATCCTATTTGACAGGAGCTCTGCATTACACACATGTTAGTGTTCAGTGGTGTGCCATATCAATGAGTGGTTTGAATAGCACCATACAGATCCTTGTGTGGTATATCTCGGCACTATCCGGACCTGCTCTATATCTAAGAGAAAGAGTTTGCAATGATGTTATTAATTCTGATAATGTGTTGGCACTTGAGCAAAATCTTGTCATACATAAACCTGGTGAGTGTCTCCTGCCAACAAGCCGAGAAGTGGTGACCGCTTTTACACAGTACAGTTGGTCATAGTGTTGTCGCCACGAGGCAATACCTTTCTGCTATGGATAGATGGGGAAAAGTTGCTAGTGAAGGCTGAACTGCAGTTCTATTCAGTTGATATATCTGTCAATCTTGGGAGCCTCAGAAACGCTATGTATGTATTCAATCAAGTGTCCACCTCACCCCTTGTCTGAATGATGTTATTATTGATACTGTTGGGTGAAACGATCATGTACATGATGAAAATCAAGTGACCAGGATGGTCCACTACTCCACTACCACTACCACTAAGGGCTTCCCAGCACTTGTGTGTCCCCCTGACAAATCTCTCCAGAAAGTTCACCATGTAGGATTGTAGCATTGTACACGACTGGGCCGGAAAGTGGTATTGGGCATATAAGACCCACTATAAAAGTGTAGATAAGATCTAAGATGACAAATGTATGGCAGAAATCCTGATCTTTACATCTTTCTCTGTGAGACAGAAGACAATGTTGCACATGGTAGTTTCCATACCCAGGTAAACCAAATGTTGGGTTTGCTCAAGCACGATGTTGACTAGAAACCGCATAGACCAGATTAGAGAAATGAGTGTGTGTAATCTAGATATTCCAACAATGAATGATGGCTGACGTAAGAATACACAAAAATGCCCCTAGCTTGATTGATTTAAACATCACCTGAATTCTGTTTTGAATAATGTTTGTTGTTAAAAGTTCATTCAGAAATAATAACATAAGGAAAATAGCTATCCTATAAATTCAAAAGGAGGAGACCTCATAGTTTGGATAAATTAAAGACAAGTCTGCATCTGTACTACGGTCTTGAGCATAGCTGTACAATATATTATGTAGAGTATGGCTGTCACATAGGCTTTGGCTTCTTTTCGCTACACCTTCACAAAAGGCAGCTAAATTCACTACAATATGGCATCACCTTCACTTTCGCATAGCTTCAGTGTCAGCTTCCAATAAGCTTTGCATCATTTCTCATATGGGTAAATTATTTCATGAATAATCTTGTATCATAAATGACAGCAACAAATTCATCAAACCTCACAGCATGAAATCGACTACTTTATTCATGGGAAGCATGACACTCACAATTCATGACTAAAAATCCAAATAATTACTAGATCAGTTCATTGCTAAAAAGGCAAACCATGCATGGCACAGTCCCCGTCAAACTTAAGATATGTAATTCTGTTTACAAGTAATATAATTGGAACGTAAACATGTTAGAGATATGGATCCAGAAGCTGATGCTTGAGTATGATGATTTTTTAACATTAAAACGATTGAAATTCAGTCATATTGTATTCAGTCATCCAAAAACGACCGAGATCTGGTTCAGGAGAGCCAGATATGCTTGATTTTGATGATTTTGCAGCACAAAAATGACCACCATTTGCCCCTCTTGAATTTGATTGTGAAACAAATCGGTCCAGGCATGTTAGGACAATCCGCAAGTATCAGTTTTCGGACTCATTGTCACTGTAACAATCATAGTGAAATTTCTGTTTGGTAGTCTTGAACTATCTATTTTTTAATTCACAAGTAAAATGTAATAATAAATATTCCAGGAATGAAGGAAAACATTAACAATCATTCTCGCCAATCACAAATTTCACAAAACTTTAAAATGTTTGGGTTTTCCAAAAAAAACAAAACAATTTTTTTGTTGGCGTGGGAAACTTTGAGTGATATAATATGTATATATGGCACTGTAATCCAGTGGTATTCAATGGTATTCAATAAATCATTTATGCTGTATTTGATGTAAATCAAGTTGTTGAAAATAAGGTAAAGAACTACAAACGCCATGCATGGCCCAGTCCCCGTTAGTTATCGAATTTAAGATATATAGTTTTGCTTATAGTAATATAGCAGGAACATAAACATGTCAGGAATATGATTATGATGACTGTTTAACATTAAAATGACATTTGTATCTGATCATCAAATGAGTATTGAAAGATATTGCTCTGGAACAGCATTAATTAAAACAAAATCAGCCATTTTGAATACATGTATAATGAATATATAAACTTTGAACATAATCAGTCAAAGCATATCAGAGCTGCATTAATTAATACAAAATGGCCACCAGTCAGTCATTTTAAATTCGATCTGAAAAATAAAATGACGTGCATCAGGAATCCATAATGTCTAATGTATGTACCAAGTTTGAACAAAATCTATCCATAAATGCCAGAAATGCCTGATATTTGATGATTTTTTAGCACAAAAATGGCAACCATTCGGCCATTTTGAATAGGATCGTCAAACCAATAAATCTGTATATCTATGACATGATTTATAATGAATATTTAAAATTTGAACATAATCAGTCTAAGCAAGTCAGAGATATGGCACTACAACCACATTCATTGAAACAAAATGGCTGCCAGCCAGCCATTTTAAATCTTACATGTATCTGAAAAACAAAATGATGTGCATCAAGGTCCTATAATGTCCAACGTATATACAAGGTTTGAACAAAATCCATCTGTAAACAGCCGGGAAACACTTGATTTGATGATTTTTTAGCACAAAAATGGCCACAATTCGGCCTTTTATAATAGAATCGTCAAACCAATATATCTGTATATCTATGACATGATCTATAATGAATATTTAAAATTTGAACATAATCAGTCAAAGCAAGTCAGAGATATGGCACGAGAACCACATTCATTATGGCCAGTCGGCGATTTTTAATTTTATCTGAAAAACAAAATTATGTGCATCAAGGTCCTGTAATGTCTAACATATACACCAATTTTGAACAAAATCCATCTGTAAACAGCCGAAAAATGCTTGATGATTTTTAGCACAAAAATGGCCGCCATTCGGCCATCTTGAATCAGATCGTGAAATAAATTGACGTGCATATGTATAATATCATGTATTATGTATGTGTGAAATTTGATTGTGATTGGTCCAGGCATTTCTAAAATACAGGTCCGGACACACGCACGCACGCCCACACACACGCTCCCAAGATTGACTGCGTTCGAACTGGGACTAATAGTTTTGTAATTACCAGTAATGAAGGTGAACTGTAAATACTGACCACATATCATGCATTTTTCTGTCGTTGAAAACATATTTATACATGTATTTAAACAATTTATGCGCGATAATATTTTCCTCGGGTTTGTGTCTTATTTTCACATAAAAGTTATGCTTTTTACAGACGTATACTCACTCATACTTGTAGATATGTAATAAAACTCAAATAATATCTAACAGCTGCAATCTTGACACTGATACAATTTACCTGACAGAGGTAGATTTTTTGCAAACTTTATGTTTTCTGTCTATTTTTTCTGCTCACTATGCCTAGCTCACGCAACTCATTTGAAGCTTTACTCTATCTTGCTTGAAATATAATTATACAATTAAGATACTAGCAGAACAATCTATCAAACATCGTTCAGAATGAATTATGCTGTAGCGACACTGAAGTGTACTCAAATGGAAATCACGCTAATGCTACATTGTAGCAAAGCTGGATTTTTATTTATGCAAACTAGAAGTCAAATACGCCAAAGCCTAAACAACAGAGATATTATATGTACATGTAAGAAACAGAAGGACATTGCTGCAAAGACTTTATTGCAGTGATCACATTCCTAGGCAAGTAGTGTTGAGACACAGACAAGGCCAGCAACCAACTTATCACACAGTTATTTTGGACCACGTTCTTAGACGTGGAGTGGGTAGACACAGCGGTGACCAGCATCAATGAATATTTTTTATAAGAAACCCAGAAGCCATATTAATATTACTCCATGTAATAACATCCCTGCCTGACTATCTGTCTATTTTCCAGTTCTATGGCGATACCTATACCAATATTCATGTAATACTCCATGTAATAATATCCCTGCCTGACTATCTGTCTATTTTCCAGTTCTATGGTGATACCTATACCAATATTCATGTAATACTCCATGTAATAATATCCCTGCCTGACTATCTGTCTATTTTCCAGTTCTATGGTGATACCTATACCAATATTCATGTAATACTCCATGTAATAATATCCCTGCCTGACTATCTGTCTATTTTCCAGTTCTATGGTGATACCTATACCAATATTCATGTAATACTCCATGTAATAATATCCCTGCCTGACTATCTGTCTATTTTCCAGTTCTATGGTGATACCCATACCAATATTCATGTAATACTCCATGTAATAATATCCCTGCCTGACTATCTGTCTATTTTCCAGTTCTATGGTGATACCTATACCAATATTCATGTAATACTCCATGTAATAATATCCCTGCCTGACTATCTGTCTATTTTCCAGTTCTATGGTGATACCTATACCAATATTCATGTAATACTCCATGTAATAATATCCCTGTCTGACTATCTGTCTATTTTCCGGTTCTATGGTGATACCTATACCAATATTCATGTAATACTCCATGTAATAATATCCCTGCCTGACTATCTGTCTATTTTCCAGTTCTATGGTGATACCTATACCAATATTCATGTAATACTCCATGTAATAATATCCCTGCCTGATTATCTGTCTATTTTCCAGTTCTATGGCGATACTATATTTACTATATTTTTTTATTAGACGCATAAAATCCTTAGGAAAGGATAAAAAGGGTCTTACAGAAAGAAATTAAAAAAAAAACTACAATCTAAAAAAGAAAACAAAAAATAAAAAC